AATAGCATACCTACGCCACAATACTTTAGCACAGTTACGGATCTGCGTGGATATCCCGAATTTTCTATTTGAACTTTGTATTGCGATGCTAAACCACTCCTCGAGGTCGTGCGCAATGGTCGCACAGTCCTGTTCTATTGGTCACAACCTTGAATGAAAAACAATAAAAAACAATTAATAATCAAGTTTTATAGTTAATGTAGATTGTCATAAAAAGTCCCCAGAGAATATACAGGATGGTCTAGCATAAACCCGAAAAAATTGGTTTATACTTCCTAAACAGAGTAAAATGCAACCCACCGAACTGTTCTATCTCAATCCGGTCGGAAGTTATAATTTTTACGTGTTTTTTTCTAAAAATCCCGACCTTAAGCGATAAATTGGCATTTTTTCAAAATGTAGAGCATCTGTTTCCATTTTAACCACCTTTTTCAATTCTGCATTAAATTTCCTATAAGAAGGAACTATTTTTAGCCTTTTATTAATTCAACCTAATATGAAGAATTTTAAAAAAGGAGAAATTTTGTTCAATTTCCAAAAATAACTGTTTTTCAATAAACATCTTAAGGTGTTTTAAACCGGTGGCCGCAACGGTTTAGGCGTTGACATGGCGCTTGTCACTGTAAGGTAAAGGTCCCGGGCTCGAATCCAGCGGCCCTGCATTCGTACCCGACATACTTACAAATGGGCTTTTTTCAAAAACACCAGCACCCTGAGGGTTTATTTGACCTCTGCTGTTGCGAAGCCTCGAAAAAATAAATAAACATCTTTACCGGGGTGCCAAACATCATAAAAAAAATTCTTCATTTAATAAGCTTTGTTATGGTGTACTCCAAGTTCCCAAAACGTCAACCCTTGCAACGGCAAAATCAACCTGGAAAGGAAAAAACCGTGGTTCAAATATGTAAATTTAACGTGTACAGGAGTGAATTGTGAAATTTTGAAAATTTTAAACAGCATTGTTGATGATGCAGTGTTTAAAAAAGGTATGGATTATGTGAGGTAATCATGTCAAATCTCTTTATTATGATATAAAACACTAACTTCGAATACACCATAAGAAAGTTTATTAAATGGAGAAGGGTTTATGATGCATCCCTACAAACATGTTTGTTGAAAAACAGTTATTTTTGGAAATTTATCAAAAGTTTCTCTTTTTTTTAAATTCTTCATATTAGGTTGAATTAATAAACATAAATCGGCGTTTGGTAAGACTAAAAATAGGTGCTTCTTATAGGAAATTTCATGCAGAATTCGAAAAGGTGGTTAAAAGTGGAAACAGATTTTCTACATCTTGAAAAATGCCAATTTATGGTTTAAGGCCGGTATTTTTTGGACAAAAAATAATGTAAAAATTCATAACTTCCGACCGGATTGAGCTAGAACAGTTCGGTGGGTCGCATTTTATTCTATTTAGGATGTACTATAAGCCTGTTTTTCGGATTTTTGCTAGATTACCCTGTGTAGAGCGTATTGTATACACAATTCTTCCAGATTGGGTGATCCACTATGTTCGAAACCGTATGTTTCTGTGCTGAAATAGATGTTCATATTTGTTTCCTTTTTTAAGATTTTAATACATTTAAATTTAATTGTGATACTAATAGTAAACACTAAGTTATTATAATTTCGTAAATTGTTACTATCAATATCCCAATTAAATCTAAATGTATTAAATCTAAACAAAAAATTAGCATGATTAAAAAATTAATATGAATGTGTATTTTAACAAAATCAGGGATAAGGCTGAGTTGAAAGAAAACCAAAAACACCCAGTTCCTTCATCAAGCTTATGAGGCATATTTCCCCTTCATCAGGACTTAGAAATTATTATTGATCATTCACAAGATTAACAAATATTAATATCTACTACAGTACTTAAACTAATGGTTTCAAACATAATGGATTATTCTTCAAGAATCGTCTGCATAATAAACTATATATTCCTTGGGGAGAAAGATGTTAGATCTTTTAATGAAAATCTACATTAACTATAAAATTAAATATTAATTTTTTTTATCTTGATCCACTCTATTCCAGCGACGTAGACAACCAAATACACACTTTCATAAAAAGTAGTCTTTATTTTATAAGTGTGTTTCTGGTTGTCTCCGTCTGTAGAATAGTGTGGATCAAGATAAAAAATAAATTTTAATAACAACCTACAGAATAGAATAGCAACAACAATAATATCAATATAAGATAATATAGTTTTTATAAATATTATTTTTTAAACTTTGATTCAGGTAGAAGTAGAACAGAGCTGAAGCGACCATTGCGCACGACCTCCAGGAGTTGCTGGTTTAGTATCACAAGAAAAAGTTCAAATAGAAAACGGCATATCCGCGCAAAATAATTGCAAGTGTGCTAAAGTTTTAGGCTATTTCGTAACTACTGGGAGCAAGCCCACTTGAAATAGCACGGTATGGTCCGTTATGCAAGCTATTTCGTGAACCCATTTAAGTTTCGAGTTTAGTTTTTTTTTTAACACGTGGCAGTTTCTTTTTTAGTTACTGAAATTGTTAATGAAGATAATCAGATAGGAAGAAACTATTTACATTGTGAAATATGTAGCCAACAAAAAAATGGTCTAAGCAGCAAAAATTCCATTTCATCAAACGGTTTCCATCGAAGTGCACAATCAGAAAATCTCTGCCTGTTTACTAATATTTTGAATATTTTTTTTAGTTTAGTTAATTTTCAATAATCATAAACATGAACATACAAAAACTTCAATTAACACCCTTTCTGAACCCGTGCAAATATTTATAAGTTGAAAGGTCGTCCAGGTATATTCGTACTAATTTATAGTATTATTATACTATATAATAATACTATATTATAGTCTTATAGTCTAGCAAAAAGGAGGGAAAATTCAAAAAATGAGGTTGAGATGGGAAGTTAGGGTCCGAGTGGATGGAAGTCACGATAGCTCAAGTGGTAGAGCAGCGGCGTATTTATTAGCTGAAGGTCGTGGGTTCGAATCTCGCTTGTGACACTGACTTTTTTATCTCAACTAAAAACCTTAATTAATTGAACGATTAAATTGGTCAAGAGGATAACTAGTGTATAATAGTCTAAGTCCATTTGCCCGGAATCAACTCTTAAATTTATTAGCGCCTAGGAGAGAGTGTTAATTAAGTAATTAAAATGTTAAAGAAAAAAGATGCTCGAAAAAAGGAAACAATTTTTTTTTTCGCTAAAAGTTATTCTATATTTTCAGTGTACCACGTCATAAAGTAAATCATCTGTAACAATTTCTCTAAAAAAAATTAAAATTTATTATAAAAATGAATTTAGACGAAAATTAATAAAAAGTGAAACGTTAAGTCGTTCTCAAGAAAAATTGTCTAACAAATGCTAAATTTATGATAGGTAAAAGGAGCAAAGTAGTGAAGTAAGTAAAATGTTAAAGAAGAAAGATGCTTGAAAAAGGCGACAACTTTTTTCTTGTCGTTAAATTTCATTCTGTATTTTCAGTGTACCATGTCATAAAGTAAACCATTTGTAACTATTTCTCTTAAACAATCAAAATTTATAATAAAAATAGTTTTTGAGGAAAATTAATAAAAAGTGAAACGTTGGGACGTGCTTAAGAAAAATTGTCCTACAAAAGTGTACGCCTTACCTCCTGAAATTTTCAACATTTGACGTTTTACCAGAAGTACAAATGCTAAATTTATGATAGGTGAAAGAAGCAAAAACACATTCTGCAACAGCAGTCTTTTAATCAAGAGAAAATTTGAAAATTAAATTTGTAAAATAAATTTAGGAAATTTTATGTTTAGAGAGCAATTAATGTTTGAACAAATTTTTACATTTTTGCTTAATTTTTTTTAAACTTCAGTTTCTAATTAATATATCATCATTAATATAAATTTTCAATTAATTAATCTTTATTGAAAAAGGTATTTGTTGGGATAAAAAAATCTGTGTCACGAGCGGGATTCGAACCAACGACCTTCGGCTGAATACGCCGCTGCTCTACCACTTGAGCTATCGTGACTGAAAACTGGCAAAAAGGAGGGAAAATTCTATAGGTTGAGATGGGAAGTTGGTGTCCGAGTGGATCGAAGTCACGATAGCTCAAGGTCGTGGGTTCGAATCCCGCTAGTGACACTGACTTTTTTATTTCAACAAATACCTTATATAAAGATTAATTAATTGAAAAACGTTATTCGGTCAATCGGACCACGAACTGTAATGAAATTAATATAAATATTCACTTTAATGCACTGAGCTTCAGGTAGAAGTTAAAAAAATTGCGCCAAGTTGTGCGGTTACTTGGTGAAAATGGAACTTTAGACTGGACTAATCTGCCCTATTGCTAAAGCGGTGTCATGGGCCGAAAATCATTGACTTTTGATTTTGACTTTTAATTAAGTTGTATATTGAAGTCTGACGGTTAAAAAAAAAATTATTTCTTTACTGTTGACCATGTTTTATTCTGTTGAAAGTGCCGTACTGAATAAAATAATAAATTTAATGATGTTTAAGAAAACTAAAAGAAAGATAAAAATAATACATGTTTTATTCAATTTTCTTCTCAATTCTCAATACTCAATAATTATAAGCTTTCCTAACACGGTGACAACTTAAGTTAAAACATGATGAATAGATAAGACTTTTCTAAGTTTACGACATGAACAAAGTTTCGCGATCGACAATGTTTCGTATTGTAATTAAACATATTAATTAGTTTGGACGTTTCTTAGCAGCCCACGTGTGGATGTTTCTACACGGCTTTCGAAAATCGGTCGCCAGCTGGTCAACAAAATTTTCTCAAGGCAGTTACAAATCGCAATAAATGTAACAATACCGGCCTATCAATATTCCACGTAGTCGAATGTTTATTGGTTCGCTGTAATTTTGATAGGGGTACGTGGGAAGGGGTACCGGGAGGGTGTGCGAATCGTAGGGGTGCCCACCCCTCCACGCCGAGCCCCAAGAGTATAAAACGCCGCTACCGGACTTTGCACCTTCCACATTCCGACAAGGAGCCGAAAGAGCCATCTGGAAGAATTTCGACCACCGGCCCTCAAGACAACCGATAAAAATGAGATCGTCCATCGCACTACCATGCTGCTGCACTCTTTTGCTCTTCTTTGCCGTCTCCCAAGGTAGAAACATTGACATTCTTCGATTCTTAAAAAAAAATTGGTGTATCTTCTGTCTAAGAATTCTTTGGTCATGTAACTTTTTCACATAAGCACTGATCAAAGAAAGCTTTATTTATTGTTACAAGTTATTCAAAATTTCACTTTGTCGGTTAAACATTTTTTGGAACTTGATTTAAAATGTGGTAGATTAAAAAAAAGGATCAGAAATTTTTTTTTAAATCCAGCATAACGCACAACGTTCTCGCATTTAATGTGTATGCTCATGTTGAACTGGTGGACACTGATCACAATAATCCATTTACTGTCAATACTTTATGTTTCTTTGAGAAATACAAAAATCTTAAGTGCAGGCTTCAACCAGCGAGGATAGACGGACCCGGTTAAGATCTGTGTCGGTTAGTTCAACATAACACTTAGAGAACTACCACCGATTTTATAAACTCTTAAATATATTTTTTAATTTATAACATCATTAATGATCAAGTTTATTTTCCAATTTTTGACTTGTATTATTTGGACTTAATGTTTGAAAGGTGTAAAGTGGTTTATCCCCTCATCCAAGACACCCAAAATTTTGGCTTTTAAAAGTTAAATTAAAACTTCCTTATGGCAGAAATTACTTTACCTGCTTTGCTAATAATTAAGTTCTTGTTTTGTCCTCCACAGTTTTCTGCTAAGTGTTCCGTGGGGGAAAAATAATTTATTCTGGCGTTTCGAGCTCAATGGCTCTGTTTAAGACAAATCTATAGATGCGTATTTTTATTGTGTAGATTTGTCAGGATGGGCCAATGAGCCCAAAACCCATAATAAAATATTTTTTCGACACGGAACATTCCATTTTCCTTTCTCCCTAATGTAACAATTATCGGGTTAAATTGACCGAATTTTGAAAGAGAATAAAGAGAAAAAGGAATGGCATAAAAATCCAATATATAAAATAAAATTATTTTTACACAATGAAAACTTGGTTTGGTCATAGAAAATAGATCATTACTTACATAAAAATTTGTTACACTTGAAATTTGTTTTTTGTTTTACGAACCGGAAGATTTTTGGCGCTAAAAGAACCTTTTTTATCTCATCATATACTTTTCAGTGAATTAGACTTCAAAATTTAGAGAGAGAAAAAATCCATTTCATCAAACTTTCTCGTGAAATGTTAGCGGATTTTTTAATATGGACATAATAATTGTAAAACTTGCCCGTTAAAGGTTCTTAAATAATAATAATTTTAATAAAACTTCTTCAAATTAGTTATTCATAAAGCTCAAAAATTGTCTCAATAAAGTTTTACAAATTACGTGATCATGTCCATTCTGATAAAATGATGAAATTTGAAAATGATGATTCTGATGAAAAAGAGTAAAATGATGCTAGTGTTTGAATTGAAGGTTCCGAATCCTTGTTGCTAGGTGACATCCTGCAGATGGCGAAAGGCCCAAGCAAACAGTGATATCACGATGACCAACGGCGAATTGGAAATTTTTAATCATAATTTGTGACAAGTTGATAATAAAGTAATGTGTTTTTTTTTACGTTTTCAATCAGAAAAGATTGGGGGACGTCGGGTAAAGCGTTGACAGGCGCTCATCCCTGTAAGGTAAAGGTCCTTGGTTCGAATCCAGCGGCCCTGCATTCAAACCCGACTTTTTTTCAAAAAGACTTACACCCCGGGGGTTGATATGCTGTTGCGAACCCTCGTAAAAAAAAAGCTGGCCAAATTTTGGTAAAACAACAGTCCTCGGCTTATTTATTATTTTTTTTTTTTAGTTAAAAAAGTCAAAATATTTAAGCCCCTCTTTAAATTTGATTGTTTTATTTATTGGAACAAATGAGGGTATTGGGAAAGTTTTGTTCTGCTCGTGGAATAATAAATTTCCACTCGGGGCAAATTGTATAACTCGACACTTCGTTAATCTACGAACCTTGTTTTTAATATCGAAGCCGGTGTTAAAAATTAACCTATTTAACACAATGAAAACAATACATTTCGTCGTTTACGTTAATTTATGCCAACGGTCTAATTAGTCTATTCACACGACGACAATATCCGTGATTCTCCCTGTGTTTTAATCTGTACGATATTTTTCATTAACATTACTTGTTCGTGAAACTTTCTACGAATTCGTGCAGATGGTTTAAAAAATCATGGTTTAGTCGACAGAAAAACAAAACGGGTATTTTTTACGAGGGTTTGCAACGGCACAGGTCATATCAGCCCTCGGTATATTTGTTTTTTGAAAAAAAAAAACCTGTCTGTTGGTACGTCTGGTTCGAATGCAAGGCCGCTGGATTCGAACTCGGGACCTTTACCTACAGTGATGAGCACCGTGTCAACGTTTTAACCGTTGCGGCAACCGACGCTTACCAAAATGGGTCGTCAATTTATTCCCCCGTCACAACATTAACACTACGGCCAGCACTTCACCCTGAGGACGCAGGTTAAGAGAAACCATCTGGCACTCAAAATAAGGAGGTCTCGAGAACATAGCGGTATGAAAAAAGTGTTGGATAAATTTGGGGCAGTAGGTTTAGTTGGATGGTTAGAATGCATCATCAGCTTGGAACTTTAGGAAGCGGTATCAATTCGTTGTCCAAAAGAGGTTATGGTCGTGGAGGTTATTGACACAATAAGGAGAAATAATGAAACGTTAAAAAAGTCAAAAAAATAAATGATTATTTGGAGAACGTGTCATTATTGTGTGTCATGTACCCATCTACACAGAAAACAAACACTTTGAGTGAGTACAAATACTTCGATTGAATTTAAAATTTCTAGCATTGTATAAATTCATTTTTTTCACATCCTACATGTATTTGTATAATTTAAACAAAGTTTATAAATCCCAGGCCCTGAAGATGATCTCAATAAAGATCGAAACGTTGGCACGATAAAGAAAATGTTTTTCTGAAACCTACATCACACCAGACCGCATCTCACGACCTCATTTATCATCATCAATCATTAACTAACGGTCACTAAACACCACATATTTCAAAAAATGAAGATTTTGCTTTTGTATTTTGTTTAACAATTTTTTAAGCCAATTATCGTGAATTCTATGATGTTAGGGATAATAAATCCGTTTAGAAAAGGAAAACATTTGGAACCGTATAGGTTCCAAAGGTCAAATAAATGTCGATTTTTGTGATATGCCACATGGTACACACTGCGTAGCCAACTTTGGCACTTAATTTATTATGGGATAAAGGCAAGGAGGTCTAGAAAAACTTGCAGGAAAGGGTTAGGATTAGGATAGATCGAGCTTCGACCATCTGAAGACTTTCGACCATAAGAATCGAATGCGCTGTATATTGGATATCTTGGCGAGCACCACCTCTGACAATCCGAAAATTCGAAACGTTTTGACGTTCACAACAGATTTCGGTTCCAAAAGCCTTCGTAGTTGTCCAAGTCATCTTAAGTTTTAAATCTTTTGTGAATTCCACCTATGCTATCTAGGTACAGGCCTAAGTATCTTACTAGAGTGGAAGTCAGTAGCTCCTTGTTGTTGATGTTCAATGGAGGACAAAATTTTTTAGTGTAAACGTATACTGTGTACATTTTTCATTATTCAGCCTCGTACATCACTTCGGCCATCAGTCTTTGATAAATTCAAGATGTTCTTACGTAGGTAGATGGGACAAAGAACGCTCCCTTGTGGGACACCGTATTGGTCTGTCCTTGAGTACTCGTTACCGCACCCCACTTTGAAAAAGCGGCCAGTTAAATAGATAAGCTTCCAGATTAATAATAAGTAGTGTTAAAAGTAAGAAGCATTTTATAAAACCTGTGTGCCAGGCTCTGTCAAAAAGCCTGGGCGTACAATCAAATCTTTAGGTTGATAGTTACCGATCATCTTGTTTTTTTTTGTTTTTTTACTGGGGCTTCCGACATCTAGGTCATTTCAGCCCCAAACTAAGACAATATTCTATTTACAATTTCAAACACTACATTCACACAAATAAATACATTCATACAACACACTCATTCCGTTTGGTCGGTGGAGTACTTGATATTCCTCCACCGACCTATACTCAAACTAATCTAGATTGGGGTCGATGGAGTACTTTTATAAATATTCCGCCCCCGACCCCGAACACACACTCATAAGCTCTCGACGTTGGAGGGGCGATGATGATGTTATATTTCACCCTCACCCCTCGCTAATCACGCTAATAAATACATGCACTCAGGCAAAACATATAGACACACAACACATAAGACATACTATATGCAATAAAGAAAGCCAATTTCCCCTAAAAAGCGGAACAGGGGACCCTGAAACTCGCTGCAGTGCTCGAGAACTTTTCGTAAGTCCGGCGGCATGCCTACTCGCTCTCTGTATCGCGCAAAGGCATCTTGTTCTACCAATCCTTGATGATTTTGTCATTTTGGCAATCTTCAGTGTTGGATTTGTTATTTCTTCTTAATAACTTAGCTTGGTTAGCTATGTTAAATTGTGAGATTTCCTCCTGTGGTCTGCGGGGTTTGATTATTCTCGATGGTTTTGTCGGTCAGACGCGTTTCGGCATTTCGTCATCTTCAGTGTTAACCATAGTATCATCAGTCTTTGAAAAACTTAAGGTTCTCGGATTTTGGACGTTGCTTGGGTAAGATTCGGGTTGGTAGACGGAATTATGGTTTCATCCGTTGGTTACGATTGTGTCAGCAATATATGGTAGATAGGATGGAACTAAGAACACTTGGAACAAAGTGTATTGGTCTGATAGCTGAGTATTGCCATATCTCACTCTGAAGTAGCTGTCATTGAAATAGGATTGCAGAAAAAAATAAGTAGAATCGTTTAACTTTTTAAAAATAGGTGCCAGATTCTATGAAAAACCTTGGCCAGGAACGCACCCAAGCAATATTGTTTTTCTAAAACGGAGGAAATGTCAACAACTCGTAAACCTTACTGGATCGTCGAATGATGAGGACGGAAGCTGAAATGTTAAGAAGGAATGATTTTATGTAAAACTATGGATACCGGACGTCACAGATCCTGTGGTCGAGAAAACTGGCCATCGTATTCTTTTATCGGACATTTCAACGAAAAAAAGAAGGGAAAAAATCTGTAAATCAAACTATAATCGATACGGTGTGGTGGAGAAATCCTCGAATTGGAAACAAACAATTGCCCACAATGAAGGATGGCGGTTGTTACGATAAGTAACGACGGTCTCGTAAAGGGGTCATTTATGTCTGAATCCAATGGCGACCTGTTGCTATTGGAGTTAAACCTTTCACCTCCTCGCTTCAAACTTTCTACCTGATGAATATTGGGGAAAATCAACTACATATCAGTACACACCCGGATGCATAAGTACAAAATAAATTTTGGTTCATTAACATGCTTTAAAACAATTTAATTAGTTCACAAATCACTCTCACCCAAAATCTTCTGTATTTCGCTTCAATTTGCGAACTTCCGACTTCCTTGCATTTTACGGCTTAAGGTCGATTTTTCATTTTTTTAATATGCGTGTGCATTTTTTCAATAGAATAAGCCAGCGGGGGGCGTTGGTGGCCTCAGCGGTTTAGGCGTTGACATGGCGCTCATCACGGTAAGGTACAGGTCCCGGGTTCGAATCCAGCGGCCCTGCATTCGAACCCGACATACTTACAAATGGGCTTTTTTCCAAAAACCCCGGCACCTTGAGGTTTATATGACCTCTGCTGTTGCGAACCCTCGTAAAAAATAAATAAATAAGCCAGCGGCCATGGATGAATTGAAAAGTTAGGCTCCGGCTGCGTTTTAGTTAACTAGTTGAGATGTAGGGTCACTTACTAGGCTATTCATTGGCTTTGCGATATCTTCAGCGAGAAAAGTTACGGAGGAGCGCACGTCCGACTTCGTCCAGTACCATGGAATATCCTTCTCCCAACGATACAATTCTGGTCACATTCTTACGCCTACGGGTTTAACTCCCTCCAAGAGTTCAGCTAATGATCTAGTCTACTGACATCACGACAGGTGACATAACCAATGTCTAGGATCTGGGCCCATGCAGACCTCTATACAATACCCCCAAGAAGAATCCTGTACTTTATTAAAGAAACAAAAATCTTATAGGAAAACCATGAGCAGAGGTCGTATACAATAGATGAAAAAGGGAATAATCCCTACGATTCCAGAAAGAAACACCATGGCCTTGAAAACATTCGGAACATCCTTCTCAAAAATCTTCCACAAAAAGCCACAGTCAGCCAAACAAACATTTTCGATCAAATTCTTGGTTGCTGTCCTTAGCATTGGAAACCCTCTAAATTTATCATCGTTTTGATACGTTGCAAGTCCCAGTCCGATCCAAACGGTTACAGACCCACTTCGCTCTGTTGGCAAGCTGTTTGAACCCACTTAGCGGACTTCCTGAAAAAAACATCATTATACCGAAGCAGTTTGGTTTCAGGCAAGCACTACCACTGCCCAATTAGCCAGGATGACATAAGCCTTTAATGCAATAAACATGGTTTTGATAGATATCCTAAAGGCCTTTGACACTGTTTGGCATAATGGTCAGCAGGATGATAGAATATAGTCCAGTGCTATCTCTTATCCAGACAATCCGGATTTTCTTATCGATCATCTTTTTCCTAACACAGAGACATTATAGTTGGTGTTCCTCAGGGCTATATCCTTGAACCCATCATGTTCCTTGTATATTTCAACAATATAAGAACGTAAAAATGGCTCTTTTCGCTGACAATATCGGTCTCTATTCTTTATCTTGGAGGAGTTCGACAAATTAATCATAAAACGGAGGCAATATTTTTCAGCAAGCGTAGACCGTTGTAAAAAATGGTTCAAATTGATGTTGTAACTGTCGTGGTCTGAGTCGGTCAAATATCTTGGGGTGATATATATACCACTTTTATTCCACCTGCTCTGTCTCCAGTATAACAAATTAGGAAACTCCAGGTATATATTTGTACATAACAATTTATGTTTCTGTGTGCTTTTTGTACAATGTACTGTTTCTAAATTAAAACTGAACTCAAAACGTGGAGAGTTAAAATATCAGGAAGGTAGTTTTTAAACGTTTTTTCGATTAAAAAATCATCAGACCCCTTTTGAGCTTATTCATTATTGATTTATTTTCTTTAAAACCATTGGCTCTCATATTTAAATCATCATGTCTCGCTTAGTTTGCATATCAAAAGTCTGTTCAAATGATTTTTTTTTTCATCCCTTGTACCAAGAAAATAAACATATTCAAAGAGTAAAAAAATGTAAGGAACCTTTAAATCGTTTATAGTTAAATATTTCAATTTAATACGGCCATGAAGAGTTATAAAATTTAAGTTTGCCACAGGGACCGTCCACCAAGCCAACCGAGTCACTATCGCCTAAATGTTTTCTTGCCATATAGGAGGGAAAATTCAAAAGGTGGGCTTGAGATGGGAAGTTAGTGTTCGAGTGGATCGAGGTCACGACAGCTCAAGTGGTAGAGCAGCGGCGAATCTAGCCGAAGGTCGTGGGTTCGAATCCCGCTCGTGACACTGACTTTTTTATCTCAACTAAAAACCTTAATTAATTGATAGATTATTAATTGGTCAAGCGGACCACGAAACCTAATAAAAAGTATTGTATAATTATAATTAAAACAGATTTCTCTCTGTATAAAGGTTTTATTAACAAAAAATTAAATTGTTTGTGCAGGTGAAGACATTCCATCCCACGCTCCTAAGTTAAAAAGAGAGGTGAGACCTTTTGAATTTCCGAGGGTCGGACGTTCAAAGAACTTCCCGGTTACTTGGGGACTCCAAGAAGACAGTAAGTTCAATGGACGAAACATGCACATATGTAATTTTTCCCCCAAAGACCTTTTTTATTCTCTGTTTAATTTCTTGTATTTGTACTTTCTCTTTTATACATGTTAGAATTTAGTTTAAGAGATTTGGTCCTGGAGGGGGATAAGACTTGAAAAGTTGGAAATGCATTTGCACTAAGAAAAATGATAATAGTAAAAAAAAGAAAAGGAGAAAAGATAGGAAAGGATACGAAATTTGACGAAAACAAATCTCTATTTAATAAAATAAGTGACGTCTAAACGGCTTTTCCACGCTATAAAATGTTAAATTCCTTAAAGATTGTATAAAGAAAAATAATTCACAAATGGATATATTCGGATTCACGGTGACAGTCGACGTACGGTTTAATCATTGCTGGTAAAGTTGGTAACAAAAAAAATTTAAGTATTTTGGGTAGATTAGATCTGTTAGAATCACTTAATCTGTTAAAAAACATTATTCAGTTATAAATATAGTTAATCTTTTTTATTTCAAGATTATTATATATTAATCTTTCTATGTAAGGTTTTGGTTGAAATGAAAAAGTTAGTGTCACGAGCGGGATTCGAACCCACGACCATTCGGCTCAATACGCCGCTGCTCTAACCACTTGAGGTATTGGTCATGGCGTGAAGTCACGATACCTGAAGTGGTTATAGGAGCGGCGTACTGAGCCCAAAGGTCGTGGGTTCGAATCCCGCTCGTGGCACTAACTTTTTCATTTCAACCAAAACCTTACATAAAGAATAATTAATTGAAAGAAGTAATTTGGTCAATAGACCACTAAATATAATGTATTTATAAATATAGTGTGGAAAGCATAAGCGAAGAAAAAAGGTCATCGTCGGCCCTCCTCAGCTTCTTCCTGTCTTTCACGCGTCTTTTTTTTTTTTTTTTAAACTGGAGCCTTTTTGGGGTCTCAATCTGGTTACTCACTCTCCCAGATTATTTAACAGTATCAAATAATTGTGGAAATAGAAGAGCTAGACCTTTTCTATAGATAGCCAAACAAAAAATACCCCAGTTCCATAATTGTTTAAACAAATTTTAAATCCGGCCCGTGTCAACAGATAGCTCGGTACCAAAACCCATTAATTAATCAAATCGAAAGCGGCATTGACGTCACTACAGAGTTGGTCCAGGGATGTCCACAATGGACCCCCGCCGACTGTTTAAGTCACGCGCTATTTGGACAAGCTTAAGCGCACCCTGCCCTTCCTTGAAAAAGAATTCCAGAAGAAGAAAAAAGCCTCTGCAAAGTCAATGTTTCTCGAATACTCTGCATCACGGTATGGTCTTGAAGAAAAAGCAAATTCAGTTGTTACTGCCATGCTTTCGATTTATTTCAAGATCAACATCAGTAAGTAAATATGTCTAAAAATTGAAGCAATTAAGTTATCCACAGAAGACTTAAATTTCTTTGAAGACCGACTCAGCCCCAACATTGCCAAGGATTGTGATTGCTTTGCCCTGATGATACATTAAATTAAGTCGAAAGCTTGGCAGTAACAACTGAATTTTCTTTTTCATCAAAACCATACCCTGATCCAGAATATTCGAGAGTAGAAAACTGATCGATACATCTGAAACTTAAGTCAATTTTTTACTATGTCTTATACATATGTTTTCTATGTATCGACACGATAAAATAAAGAGAAAACTTGTGCTTCAGAAAAAGGAGAAAATCAGGGCATAAAGTGAATCTCACAGACATACAGCCGATAAATGAAATAAAGGCGTTGTCTTGAACTGTCTTGAAGAGATTTACCTTTATAAAGTTAAATGATGTCGGTAGGCCATATAAAAGGTTCGGCGAAGGTGGTTTAAGTGGCAATAACCACGAGGAGCGGGACCACGTGAACGTGACGCCCCTACGTGACACGAACTAACCGGCAAAATATAAAAAATGTTTTTTCCTGTTTTTCTATGTATGTTCAATTGATGTCAGAATGCACTTATCGATGTTTTTGTCACGCTGGTAACGAAGAGTACAAAAGGGAAGGAGGACTCATCCCTTTTCCCCGTATCGGAAGATCTGGCCCTAAGAGGAACGGCGGGAACGGCAATGGAGGCCTTTGGTTCGGACCTCGTTTGGGAAAGATTCAAAAACGTTTTCCAACCAACTACGAAAACATTCCAGGTAATTTTTACTAAACTTGTCATCTGTGTTTGATTTGTAATCTGTGACTGTGCATTGTATTTTTGAACTATTCTTTTATGTCGCCTAAAATTGTCAGTCAACCTTCTCAACCATCAATGCAAATATAGGGATATTTTGAACATTGATGTACTTTTCAGAGCAATATTTATTGGAAATAGTTAATTATAAAAAATTCAGATTCTCTCCGGTCTTTCTCAGGGATTTCATCTTGGACCTATTATTTTTATTTTATTTTTTAACGATATGTCCTTCTGATGTGTTTTCTACACAGAAGATGCAAATCAAAAAGCGATGCTACTTCTAAGTAAACATTTTCCAGGCAGCACCTACATCCGGGAAAATACGAGAACGAACAAACCTAGAAAAGTAGATTGCTAGAAAGCAGCTGAAATACGCACAGAGAAAAAGGTCTTCTGTGTATTTAATACTTTCATCCTATAAAAAGCCAAGAGTAGTCGGTATCATCCCCACTTTCCTGTAAAAAGGAATAGAAATCACTACAACACTGGTGCTCATATAGACGCATACCATACCATCACATAACACAGAAATGGTGTAGGTCAAAAGTAGTGTTTATACTCAAAATAGGTAAAAAAGACTCTACACTACACAAATCTTACAGATCAATCAGCCTCAAATCTTTTTTAATAAAATCACTTGAAAAACTGATAGATAACAGTATTAGAACAACTGTTCGACAGATAAACCACTCCATCAATGTCAACACGAGTACAGGACGTTTCACAGAACCCACATACATCTACCTCCTTGAATGACTGCAGAAATCGGCATCAAGAATTCGATACATTTTTACTCTGGTGTCATGAGAATAATCTAAACGTAAATCAGAACAAATGTAATATTTAGTATGTCTTCATTAAGCAATGGGGTGGCATTCTCGGTCGTACCTTTCGGATGGTCTTCCTCTTGAGGAGGTTAATAAAATTAACATTTCCTACTTACCACGTAATTCACCACAATACGCGCCCTGGTCGGCTGCAAAAACTTCTTGAAATATCTTGAAAGGAAAAATGGCAATAGTTTAATCAATTATTAGTTTAGAGTACTCACCACCTTGTCCCGCTTTGATCGCCCCGAGCGACCGGCACGAGGAGCTGCTGCTAGCTAAAATGCATTCTAAGCTTTAGCCAAAGGAAAAATGAATGGTTTTTCGTACAGAAGTAAAATTGGTACTAACTGAAGGCATTCAGAAGCAAAAACGAACAATTCTTTACACGGGTGTAAAACTTCACTAAAAGGCGCGAAAACACTTATTAAATTAACCTAAATGAGGGTCGACGGGTACTCAATATTGAGGTAATCGCAATTGGCCCTCTCAAACTGCACTTTCACAACAATAAATACATTCACTCTCAACACTCAATAGGGGACCCAAAACAAGAAGTGGGTAAAAACAACTCTGTTTTCTCTGAGAATCGGAACAGGGGACCCAGATATTCGCTGTCGTGCTCAAGCAGAATTACCATATCATGTGGCATTCCTATGCGCTCCCTATATGGAACCAGTGAATTGCACCCTTCAATTAGGCCTTCAAATTGAGAAACATTTCTCTGCATGCCAAACGCAGGCTTTGGACTAAGAGTAATACTCGTACGCGCTTTTATTTTTATTGTATTTTTGTAATCTGTATTTTTATATATACTTTGTATTTTATATTTTTTGTACATTTTTTCTTTTCTTCTCTCTCTTTCTTCTCCAAAACTTATTTATATATAATTGTAAACCGATGACCTCTGGCAGACGGATAGATGATCCGTGTCCATAATGCTTTTGTTCTTTAATTTAATAAAAAAAAGTTTTGGATGTATATAGGCTCCAATCCGCACATGTACAAACATACATACAAACATGTGCCAACTTGAGCCTATTAGCTTCTTGAAGCTCCCCGGCAATTCTAGCTTTTGTTATTTCCAGTAAATTGCCAGCAGACTAGAGAATCACCCACCCCTGGTGTTGGGAGTCCGAGGGCAGTCCTCAGTCTTATCTGTCCAGCCACCGAGGTTGGTCATGGGGGGGGGGTTTGTGTGGTCAACAGCTAGGTCATATCAGCACCCACTCAAACCCAGTCATACTTAGGTTCCTTCATTCACTCCTATTTTTACATGCCATTCATTGAATTAAGGTGATGGAGTTCTCAATATTCCTCCATCACACTTTCACATATTGTACAACAAGCCTAATTGAAGGTCAATGGGGGACTCAATATTCCTCCATCGTCCCTCTTACATCACACATTCGCGCTAATAAATACATTCACTTTCAACACAACCTTTACCCATACTATACAACTAACCTAATTGAGGGTTGATGGGGTACTCCATATTCTGCCATCGATGCTCACACATCCCACATTCACTCTCAACACAAACTAGGTATACACAACTGTTACTGCTACATATAATAGAACAACCCCGTTTCTTCCAAGAATCAGAACAGGGTTCCCAAATACTTGCTGCCCTGCTCAAGCACAATTCTCAAATCACGTGGCTTTCCTGCGAGCTCTTTCTATGGAGGCAAGAAATTGCACTCTTCAATTAGGTCTTCAAATCGAGCAACCTTACTCTACATGCCGAATGCAGGCTTTGGCCCAATAGTAACTTTTATTAACTCCCCCCCACAAGCAAAAAAACATTACACTATACAATGAATACATTCATGCACATAATCAAACTTATAACTTTTTGTGAGAATTACTTGCCTCGGGTTTTGGCAGTCTGTTGTCAGACCTCTGTCTTTATCCATCCTGTTGCTGAAATTAGGATCCACAGGCTGTCATCAGCTATGAGAGCCCTAATTTTTTTAACCTAATTAATTTTTTTTTAACTAAACCCAGTCACTCTGGTTGAGTACTCAGTATTCCTCCTTTACACATATAACTAATCTAATTGTGGGGCTGTAGGATAGCCATTATTCTTCCCTAGCACTCTATACATTCACACTAATAAATACATGCATTCTCAATACAATTCATTAATGTCACAAAGGTTAATTGTTAAATTATTTATAACTCAATACACTCAATATAAACAATATGTTAATACAAAATTATTATATAACAATTAATATGTTTGTAAAAATATTTCACTATAATATTATTTATGATTTTTATGCACAGATTACACATCTGATGAAGAGAATGAAGAGTCTTTTCTTCTGAAAAAGCTGAAAGCTGGTGAAGATTATTTAACATTCCAGTCCGATTCCAAAATTGAACCCTAGACAATTTAAAGAAAGTTTATTTTAAAATGTCATGTAATAGATATTAATTTTTTTAAACTTGATTTGTTTCTATTATGAAAATAGCGATTTACTGTAAATATCCAATGTCCATAACACTTTTGTTCATTGTGTAATAAACATTACAAATACAGTAATAATAGAGCTAATAACGATGTCTGTTTCATCAATGTCTCTTACAATCTGGAATTGTCTGTTACTATTACAACGGCATTAAATAAACATCTTGAAAGTAACATCTGTTGTATTAACCCGATAATTTATTGTTATTTATATGTATTAATAAATTAATTTTCAATTATAAATTGACGTTTTTGAGATAGTTGTACAAGTCTTCATATTATTTGTGTAACCTTGTCTTGAAGTTTTACATTAATTATTATGAAAGTATAAACACTCCATGTAATCCTTCCCATACCTTGTAGGAACAAAAATAAATATGAAATGTACCATCAGTGGGTTTTTCTGTTATTTATTTTAAACATTTTTACAGTTGTTGTTTTTTTACACTATAATTTAAATTAAATTATATTGATTTGAACCAAACTAGGCTTTATTTAAAACAATATTTTAATAAATTGTTTTTGGACAATTTTTATAGATTGTAAAAGAACTGATAAATAAAAATGACTAATTATTCATTAAATGAATGATCTACAAGCTTTATATGAAAATAAACAGGTGGTGTAAGAATGAAAATATATGAAAACCTATTTCATGTAATCAAGGAGCAACATATAACACAAATCTTACCAGGTAACATTATTTGGTCCATGTTATATATATTTACTACCACACACTAAAGTCTGTCAACTTGCAAGTATTGTTTCATCCTTCATGCCCATCCACTATGCCAAAGCGGATGTTCTGCAAGGTAGCATCATCTGTCCCATTTTCTACTCATATACACTGCAAGCTATCAATCATACTCCTCACATAAGCAGACGCCATCCTTTCGGCAATGCCAGACCAAGTAGTGTCCCTTAAAAACCACAAGGAACAATTCTTCTCTTAGAAAGAATGGTTCAAGAAATAGAGGATTTAAGGAAGCCAAATCCCAGCTAACCCTTCACCCTTTATCATCTCACCTATCCTCCTTGTACTTCTCTTCTTCATCTCTGTTCCTCCACCAAATGTCATCCACTATTTAAAACTTTATATTGATAAAAGACTTATTTGCAATCTTCTGGGTGCTGTGCAAGGCAGTATCCTTGGTCCTATTCTCTATTCAATAAACACTGCAATCAATAATACTCCTCACATAAGCAGTCGTTATCCTTACCCCATACCAAGTAGTGTCTCTTAGTAACCTCAAGGAATATGTCATCGGTTTGGACAAATGATTGAAGAAATGGAGAATCAGATTCAACAAAACCAAATTCCAATAAATACTTTACTGTACCATCTCTCCTCTGTTCTACTAGTTCTGCTATACTCTGTTCCTCTCACTGGAATTAATGTCAACTGCTATTTGAGACTTAACAAAAGCAAAAACTACTTGAAAACAGATCAAAACTCTCACTAGAAAGCTACTTCTTCAACCAACGTACAAAATTGAACTGATGGATTCAACCAAATGTTCCAATCTCCAAAAAATCCAGTCCCTCCAATCCAAAATTCTTTGACCAAATGAACCAGCTCCTTTATTACAGGAAGGATAATATGTATATATTTAATAATATGTACATTTGTTTTAATTATCAACCCAGATCTTCAAATCCCATGTGTCCTCGGAACTGCAAGAAGTCGTCTAGAGCACCAATTGCTTTACAATTTCCTCCATAGTGAGGAAAGTGAGTAATGTTGTGCTTTGTTAATTAATGGATCCACACTTATGATTTTACACTATAAAATTCATAAAGGGATTAAAGTTTCACGCTAGCACTTTAAAAAATTATGTATTAATAATACTAGAACTACAGAGTTAAATTATTTATTTAGTCATATTTTACAATGAATATGTCTCCTATAATAAAAAAGACAGTATTTACATTGTTGCATAAACCACAATTAACGTTATGTTTTTTATGTTATAATATTATCTGACCATAAAACATGAAACAGTGTAATATTTATTTTATAAAAACTGTGCAGTATAAGTAGAATACATTTTTCCTATATTTTTATATGATCCTAACATGGAAGTTAAAAATAAATTCAAATTATCGAACCTGATTTGCAATATACACTGCATACAATATATGAACCTTCACATAACTTGTATGAGAGAAATTTTGTTCTCAAATGTTATATATTTATGTATTTTATGTCTTTTAATATCCAAATTCTGGCATGACATTTTACCTTAAACTTTATATTTGTGTATTTATTTAACTTTTTTTTTTCTATTGGATTAAATGAATTGTTTTGAGAACTCTTTGGTGGTTTTTAAGTATCAATGAACATATTTGTACCAACATTAAAAAAAAAAATAATACTTAGATATAATATGTACATTTGTTTTCAATCAAAACAATAATTGTTATTAACAAACACTATATTTACAAAAAATATAACAAAAACATTAAATAATACAATTTGCTGAGTTTTCTCCTTAAGTAGAGGCAGTTCCGATAATACACAGTGATAATCCTTTCCTGGCGGCGTTTCAACAAGGAAGAAGGGAACAATTTTATGTACAGTATATAATTTTTTTCAAAAATACATAATTTTCGGCACATATTTAAAATATGTTGTCACAATGATTCCAATAAAGAATTACTTCTTGAAGACCTTTGTTTTAATTTTTATAAATTTCCATAGCTTAAAGGCAATCAAATGAGTAATATTGAACCCTATAAAAATATGATTTTTATGTACAGGCTATAAATTTCAAAAACAGAATCATTATTCAAATGAAAACTAACTACTTACGTATTTGTTATTCATAAATTATATTCAAATTGCTTACAATTTTGTTTTAATTAGTTTTTAAAAAAATATTGAAATGAAAGATTTAAATATACTTTTATATAATAAATACATATTTTTATTTTTTATTTTTTTATTTTTTACTTAACAAGTTCATATATGTTTGGTTTTATAGGGTAAAGTCAGATCACTTAAGGAAAATTCTTGATTTGAAGGGCTTATAAATCTTCTTTCCTTTTTGTTTTATATCAATTTTTATTTTACAAATTGATTATTGCTGAAATCCTGTTAATTGTGCATTAAATAAATAACTAAATGTCACATTAACGTACTTTTTGACTTCGGTCTTATTCTAATAGTTAACAGCAGACTAGTTTCTGAAGATCATTTTCATGATTCTTCAATTGTTATTGATTTTCCTCCGTTAGAAATGTCGCTTTCACAAGTCTGAAAACAAACGTTACATTTTTAATTTTTAAAAACTATTACAAATTGCGACGTTTTCAGCTCTTTAACTCTATAAATTTGTGTTTAAAAAAATCAGGCATATTTGAAAGAAAAGAAATCACTCAGTTCCTTCATCAAACTTTAGGTAGAGGTCGTATCAACCTTTGGAGTGTTGGTGTTTTTGAAAAATAATAGCCCATTTGTAAGTATGTTAGGTTCGAATGCAGGGGCGCTGGATTCAAACCCAGGACATATACCTTAAGGTGATGAGTATATGTCAATCCATAAATCATTTAGGCCACCGATGTCCTCTTGGTACTATCACTACTATTACTTTAGTAAGTAGATATTCAAATTTGTTAATATTTTACATTATTAATAATAGTTCCAAATTCCTGATGAAGGGCATATATATGTTGAAAATTTGACGAAGGAACTGTGTGTTTTCTTTTCTTTCAAAATAGTTTTATTCATGATGTCAAAATACGATAGAGATCTGTGAATGAATCAAAAAAATTTTTAACTTGATTGTACCAGGTAACGGAAAGTTCATGTGGGTTTAAAGAGCTTAATACTTTCTCCCAATGTTACTTGCCCAGTTATGTCCTTCTTATAAAAGTTTCGGACTCAGGATTTAAAACATAAATTCAGCTCCAGCTTTTCCAGCTCTGTTGGCAATTATCAAACTCGATTGCGCACATAATTGTCCATTGCTAAGAGAAGATGAAAGACAGCTGAGGCCAAGTCTGGAGAGTACGGAGGATGTGTGATAGGTCTTGCCAATCAAGCTTCATCACCTCTTTGTTGTTCGGCTGAGGTATTGCATCCTGGTGAAAAATTACAATTTTTTTGTTGACAAGAGCAGGATGTTTCTTGGTCAGAACAAGACATACTCAATGTATAAGTACATTCTGCGATAATGACCTGGTCAAGTGGCAGGAGTTTTCATTGTATACAATGCTGAACTCCGCCAAACACAAACCATCACCTTTTGAATATTTAGTTTCGAGTGAACGAGACAGGGATGACAAGCAATGGTACGACCTGGTATTACTGCGCAGGATCCACTTTTCATCGCATGAAAAAATGTCCCTGACTTTCTGGCGTGAAAGCAATGAAAGGCAAACAATTAGATGCAGAAGCTTTTTATCAGTCAATTTATGGATAACTCATTTGCTCAGCTTCCAGGTCTTCCAAGTCATGAATGGTTTCATTGCTTACATTGTTGAACTCTCTGTCATGTTTCTGACATGTTTGATTCGAATCAAGGACAGGAAGTCTTCCAGACAATGGTTCATCTTCAATCACCTCTTTTGGGCAGTGTGCTCAGTTATTGTTGCAACACTGAACACAGAGTGAATTTTACTAGCTGTGATTATTCGGAGATAGTGAGACACCACATATATTTACTAGCTGTGTTGGCCACCATAGTGCTGAGCCTAAATTTATACAAAAGGCATGCATGATTTATGGGTTTTGAAGCCATGATAAAGAAAATATTTTATATTTTAGAGTGACCTGTTCAAGAAACTTTTTCTTTATGAACCAACGCATTATCCTCTCGGTATTCATGATGTAAACATCTAATCGTCCTATATAAATAGAAATATTGATTAAAAAATTGCATGAACTTTTCTTGTTACCTGGTAGTACTATTTTGACAATAAAATATTTTATAGTATGTAATTATTTGCAATGCATTAAAAATAACATTATCAAAAAACAATTATCAACTGTTTAATAACTGAAATTTTAAAAATTGTGCTTTTACAAGTCTTTCTACTTTTTTCTATTACATTTTTACAAAAATTATGATACACCTAAATAAACAATAAATACTTCTTTTTTTTTTTTTAAGAAAAACGTGCTGTGTTGAAGGTGCAAATTATTTGGAAATTCATCTGATTAGGACAACAAAAGTTTAAGCTTCTTTTAGTACCATTACTATTCTTTTAAGTGTTGAGGTGTAATTAAAAAAAAAAATATTGAATCCTAATACCCTCTTTGCTTAGTGAAATGTGATAATTCTGCATGAAAAGAGTTAAATTTTGTGTGCAGAACGGGTGAAAAATTAATCATAATTAGTGCTAGTGAAGAAAAAACATTTAAATGTACCTGTTTAAAGAGAACTCATTCGGAAAATAATATTAATTATACAAGGGGAACACTAAGAGTGCATACCCATTGTTTCATGCTGCATTTCTACCTTATAGGATGGATTATCATATGCTGCAGTATGAGGAACAGACTTTCTCTGAACTGCCGCTGTAATTGGAGCTTTGTTATGGCCATGCTTGCGTGCGATAACAACAAGCAGGCCCAAAGCTGTCAATATAGCAATTGCTGCAAGTATAGATACACCGATTAGAGGACCATAATAATCATTGGCCTCAGAGAGTGGAGAGCCTTCTAATTTTCCTATAAAACAAAGACAATTGATTAAATATATTGTTTAAACTATGAATATTATATTTTTATATAAATATTCACCTTGACGGACATCTCCACTTGAAACTACACCTTGCTTTGTCGTGAAATCTTTCACATTGCTCTTTTTAATTCTTCCATTTGTCAAATAAGCTTCCAACCACAAACGATACCTAGAATATAAATTATTAATGCTTTTTTTTCTGCCTATGGCAAATGTGAAATATGTTAAAAATAATGTTGCAAGTCTCAAATTTAATCTATAAGTGATGTTAGAGTTTAAAGATCAGACAAAGATAAATGTATCGTCCTTAGCATTTTCTGAACTTAAATTGAAAAGGTTAGTTTTCTTAACCTTAATGTATGATACCATCCTATGTTATTCTGTCCCTATTCTTATTCCTAAAGCACACAAACCTCCTAATCACATATCTTATAGACCCATCAGCTTTCTTTTTTCAAGGTCCAAAATCCTCAAAAGATTTCTTTTAAAGTGCTTATTACTCATCCTAGATCATTCCTTTCCACCAACTCGGCTTCCTCATCATCACGATATAACAAGGTTTACGAGTGTTGACACTTTCTCTAGAGAAAAAAAGGATTGCTTGGGTGTGTTCTTAGATGTAGGCTTTTAATCGGTCTGGCACCCGGGCATGCTTTATAAACTTAAACGCTTCCTACCCACTCCTTATTACCTTATCCTGAAATACTGTCTAACCAACCACTGCTTTAGAATGTGGCAACGAGTTCTCAGAAGACAGACAGATACATAAGGTAGCATTCTTGTTCTCATCTTTATATCATCTATACTGATGACCCCCCCCCCTATATACCATTACCACTGATGAGGATGATACCATAATTTTGTCTTCTAACTCGAATCCTATCGAAACTACTTCAACATCCAAGAACATCGGTGCAAAAAGTGAAGGATGAGACTGGGTGAAGAAAAATATACATCCAATACAAAGAAATGCACATTTCTGTTCAAGTCAAATACATAGGACTATACCTAAACAGCAGACTGCCATAGATTCCCCAACCCCAATCGAGTCTTAAGAGACAACTTCCAAGACAAGTTGTTAAACTTGAACAACCAGAAGGCTATTTAGACCAAAATCTGTTTTGACCATTACAAATAACTAAACTTATACAAGACTTTACTGCAACCACTTTGGACATAAAGAGTGGAACTATAGGGATCTGCTCCATTCAACTCCAGTGCGTCCAATCCGTCTAATCAAAAGTCCAAAGACAAATGTCCAAACTCTTTACTACATCACTAACCTTATCCACAATGGCCTCAATATTTCTTTTGTCAATGAGCTGATCCAATCCTGCTTTTAAAAGTTCCAAATCAAGTTTTTGATCCATCCTAGCCTTACTGCCCAAGCTTTATGTACACTTTCCCAACTCACAATGGCCTCGAGACTTCCTTGTCTCTTAATACCTCAATAAGTGTTGACTGGTTTCTCCTAACCTGTGTCCTCCAGGTGGTGGTGACCATAAAACACTCGATAAAAGTTGGTTATGTGTAAATCCATTGTCATCCACCCTCACAAACTCAACAGCATATCAGCTACAGACTTTATCTCGTCAGATACTTAGAACTATACCCATATGTGAAATGCTCCTCACAATACAGAAGACTAGAACAACTACAAAGACTTCTATGATCGAACCCTTCTTGAACATTAATACTAAGCTAACCTTACAGAAAACTTTACTGCAACCATTGTGGACATACAGAGTGTAACTGTGGAGTTCCCCCAAGTTGTTAAACAGACAGTGCGTCTTTCCAATCGAAAGTCCTCAGGTAAATTGTCAAAGCTCCTTTCTATGTCACTAACTTCGCTATCCAACAACTTCAACATTCCTTGTACCTTGTAAAATATGAGATCTCAAACACCTTAACTAATCCCTTTTCAGAGTGTTTAAGCAATAATGAATAAATAAACCTCCAAGGAAAAAGATATAAAATTGAATTATGGAAAAACTCTATCATTTTACAAGCCAATATTTAATAGTGTTTAAATCTAATTTGAGAGAAAAAAAAATTTGATCAAACAAGTAAATAAATGTTTCATCTGTTTGGTTTCTTTTTCAAATTACAAAATTGCAAGTCATAGATGTCAAATATGCACACAAAAAAAATACCTTGTATCTGGTTTTAGCCCCTGGATCAAAGTTGACGCCGGCGAATCTCTTTTAGCAACTTTAAAAGTATTCATATATTCTCTACCTCCTTCGTACTGATAAATTGCTCTGAATATGTTGACGTATTTGTCTTCAGGATATGGCACACCAGTCCAACTTATCTCGACAGTGGTACTCTTTATGTGGTGAACGTCCAACATTAGTTCAAATTTATATGGATCTGAGGGCAGAAAACAATTTGTTATAATGACTGTATTTGTTATATTAAAAATTTGACATACCATTTTCAATTGTCGTTGAGACATGGACAGTTTTTTGAGCTTGAAGTTCTGTAGTTTGCCCTGGGAATGGTATAAAGAAAATTCCAATTTCATACTGAGAGTCAGGTTTCAAACCTTCTAATGTATAACTTGTTACTGCTCTATGGATCAACGGTGTTGCTTGGTAAACCTAAAAATAAAAAACACTCATAGATAATAAATTATTGTGTATTATAAACTATACCTACTTTCTAAATTGAATTAATAAATGAATTGGATTAAGTGGATGAAAATAGGACACAAAATTAATGAGGACTATGATGCACAAAACTATTAAAGAGTGAAAAATATGAGAAAAAATGTAAGCATTTTAGTTTATATATATAGAAAAGGGATAAGTAAGAAGAGTTGCCAGAATTATGGAATATTGACTCATTTGTCTCCACACAATTTCCATTTATTTAACACTCAAACTTACTACACTTTTTTGTTATTTTTATAAGTTTGATCATAATTAATCTGATACTTACTTGATCAAGGGATCATCAATTTCAATTAAATTATTTTGGCGCTACGGTGCTACTAGGTCAAAAAATATTAGATATATATCAATGTGTTCTTGTCTATGGGCACAAGGAGCCAAGAAAAAAATATATTAGCAGGTATTTCATGATTATTACATACGTCGATCGACAGAATAAAAATTTAATGTTGTGATGTAGGTTTAGAAAAAATTGTCTTTATCATGCCCGTTTCGATCTTTATTGACATTGTCACTTAACTAACACTCTCAACAAGACACACAGCAGTGACAAATCTGCCAGAAAACACACACTTTGCGCCCTGAAGATCATCTCAATAAAGATCGAAACGTCGGCAAGTTAAAGAAAATATTTTCTAAACCTACTTCACACCTGACTGCATCTCATGATTTCTAAATTGTCATTGATTAATAGTCACTAAATATTACACATTAATATGCAGGATTGAATTAAATGAGATTAGTATATAAAAGGTTAGAACAACCAAAACACTTTCATTAAAATAGACCAAAAAAATTGTTTAAAATTTTTTTTCAAGCGCCCTTTAAAGCCCATAAATACACATTTTTAAAGTAAACAAAAATATACATTATTGGGTAGATAGTCGGTGGCAGTTATTTCTTTCTCAGATGTCCAGTGTTGCATTAAAATATTTCATAACTCTTCTGGATTTTATCTAAATTCAACATTATTACTATCTTTAGAAAGTTGGATTATTCTACTTTTACCCTATGCCAAGACAATTTATATTTTATATTATTGTAAGTGAGAAAAATAAGGCTGAAAAAAAAAAAGAAGCATTTTATTTTTTATCTCCGGAGTTTATAAGGTTTCCTCCTATAGTTTCCTGTTCATCAGTAGAGTTGTTTCAAAATTATCCCCATTTTTTGTTATTTTTGACGAAAAATCATATGCTAGGACGGTTTTCAGGGAGGTGAAAATTTTAAGGGACAAGAATATTTTTTTGATTTTCCAAAAAACTTGTATTTGGGTTTTTTAACAGTGCAAAAAATGAATATGGACTGTATTTCTTGCAAAAGAAATATTTTAGCCACTTCTTACCCTTGCAATCGCTAGCTGCCAAATACAATTTTAACACAATCCAGCAACTTTTCTTGAAATACATGCTTAACAAAATTAGAAATCTATGTTTAAAACAATTATATAAATTATTTCTTTTTCTTGGTCCCTAGCACACTTTGACAAAAATGCTCAGACACAAGTCTAATATTTTTTGACCTAGACCAAAGTTCTACTAAAATCTTGTTGACATATCTCAAAGTACTAAGGCATCTGATTTTACTAAATTGAACTTAAATCAATTGTGAGATTTTCTCTTGAGGTCTTGAACGGTGATGAAACTGTAGTTCAGTTAGTTCCAATCATTTTGGCCTACCTATTTCAACATGTCAGACACAGTTCAGCTTCTCATCATCATTATCAGATGACTGAAAACTAAATAATATCTCCTTTCCAACATCTGACAGACCAAGCCAGTGAGGATAGGAAGATGAACAGTAAGGACCAAATTACATGATCACCTCGCAGACCACAGGAGGAAATCTCACGACATTGTTTTTTCACAATAGATTTATTCAAAATTATGATTATCAATATGATATATATTAGTTGTAACAATGATTTGGCTTGAAATAGCTGAAAATAGTAACATAAGCAATAGTTGAAATCATTTTTATACATCTTCACTGAGTAAAGTAAATTTTTTATTCATATTCCAAATTGTACTCAATATAAATACCTTTCCATTTATTTCTTTGTATCTTAATTGTACACCATCAATAAAATGCAGTTCATCTTCAGTAAATTTCCTCCATTCTAAAACAGCCCACGATGAATTCACCTTTGTGACCCTAAGATCTGGTTCGACTGGAATCATCGGTGGAACAGTCGCTGCAGAAGCTGCAACACATCACATATGTGCTATATGAACACAGTGTTTGGTTAAATTTCCGTCATTACCTGCAGGTGGTGTTTTCACTACGAGTATTTTGCTCGCAGGCGAGTTTTCAATATCTCTCATCACGACAGTAATTTTGATCTTGTATTCTGTGTCCGGTTGAAGATCATCTAGTTCAAACTGTAATTCTGAGGTCGCAATAAGATCATTCGCTGGTGCAAATACTTTTTGCTCCCAGGTCGAGGGATCGCTGTTCCTAAAAATGAAGAATATTTACATAAAAAAAATCAATAATAAACATAGATTATGAAATAATAACACTTACTCCTTATCAGAAGTGTATCTCAGTTCTACCCGTCCGTGAAGACCAACAAGGACAAGTGGTACAGAAAATATTAACCTCACATTATTTTCATCTACTGCTTCAAGTGTATGAACAACAATGCCATCTAAAATAAAATTTAAAAAATCTGTTAATCACACTACTAGCAGTGTGAAAATAGTTCACTCACTAGGTAGGCTAATAAAATAAAACATTTATTAATAACCTCTGTGAAAAAGGTTATATGTAGAATGGAATCCCTGATTAACATTTTTAGGGATATCCCGGGGATATGTAGTCACACAAGTGTGGTGATGATGATGAATTCTGAAAGGAGGAATCATGCCTTGGATTCGGCAAAAGTACCTTTTAGCATAGCACCAACCAAGGGTGCCTCCAAGAGGTACTATCACCACTTTAGGTTACTAGTAGCAGATGATCTAATCCCAAAGCTTAACATACAATATACCATAGGTAATACTAAGAGCTGGCAACAATCATAAATGTAAACTTTGATATTCTATCAGGTGCAAAATGCCTTAAACACTGTAGAAAGATGGTGTGAGAAAATTGGATTTAAATACAAAACCTAAGAAAACATCTCTTATACCTTTTACAAGAAGGAGGAAGCTGTATCTAAATGCATCCACTATAAAAGATGAAGCTTTAACTTTCTCATGGAGCAGTCATAGGCAACATACTACTATTGACCAGAGATTATGCAGTAAAAACTAGAAGAATCGTATGGACCGCTTTAGTCCATAGTGGGTGAAAACGTAAGGAGACACCAAACAAACTGTAAAGTCTTCAAAGACTTAATGAGTGGTGATGCATACTTATCCCACAATAGTGATGAAAGATTAGATTAAAGAAGCAGTCTACAACCTGCGCATCGCGACCAGTATTGGTCATTGACCATCTCCATTTTTGTTTCCTCATAAAACTTAAGGCTTTTTATCAGATCCCAAGCTTTTTAAAGACCCTCTCCAAAGCTTTAAATAGTTCTATGTGTAGCCTCTCCCAGGAGTAGAAATTTCAACCCGCATGCCTTTGTCACAACATAGGACATATTCCACTTTCTCTTTTCTTCCTGGCAATATCTACACAGGTGTGTTTCTACCACTTTGAGTCTATGCATATGCCTCTGGAGTCTTCAGAGTCTACTCAACAGGCCAACTATTATTCTAGTCCTAATACATCTTAGGTTTAGTAATTCTGGCATTAGTTTCTGAGATGGCCCTTAGATTACATTTTGTGCATGCCTCTGTCCTGGGCTACATTCCCATTGAACAGAATGTTAATCAATTGTCTGATGGACACACGTTTTTTGGCAGTTAGTTATGCCATGAAAATGTTTAGAGGCAATACATGTCCTCATCAAACTTTCCTTTGCCAATTTATCAGCCACTTCATTGCCCCTCAGCTCTGTGTGCTCTGGCACCCGACAAGAGTAATTTAGGTTAGCTAAAGGTTAGCCGGCAACTGTCCGAGTAGACAGCAATTATTCTGTTAACGATCTAGCCTTTTCATCTCCTTGGTACTGTGTTCAATAGAAACAGTCTCCACTTTAAAGACAGCGGCAAATTGCCCAAGGCTTATATGAATTCTCAACTTTCATTTATTTCCATAAATACCAGCTCCTGACCCAAGCTTGGTTTTGGAGTCTGTACACCAGCTATCTGCATTAACTGGGATCTCTTCTCCCAGTCTGCTCTACCGGGTATTTTAATTGGAATTTTTTTGTCAAATCTAAATTTACGGCACATGGCATTCTCAGAACTCTGGACAGAAACTGCACTCGATTTTTCACTCTTACACATTTGAGTACAATAGGTGGCTTTTGAGCGTGCCAACAGACTCCTGAGATACAAAGATAATAAAAAAGATCCAAAGGGAAGAAATCTCAAAATTGCGAGCCTATTACCACAACCTGTGGTCCATGCGATCCATCTCTGTGCACAGGAGTCAATAAAGTAGGATATGAAGTGCATGGATTACATACTTTTGGAGAGTCGGAAGCTGTAAAGACATTTTAGCTTCAAACTAGGACATAAAGGTATAGAATGAAACCTATACCTTTTAAATTGACCAACCAAATTGACCAACTAGCCAAAAATAGGGCAGCCCTCTGACCCATCAGGCTGGAACCACACTATATGCATCGTGTACAAATGTTTATGTTGGAAAATGGCTTGAGAAAGAAAACCTCGAGCATTGGATAAAAGCAGCGCATTTATAACTCAGGCAGGATTGAGTAATATTATTACTGCCTACTACCTAAAGAAGAACGGCAAATCAGAGACATTGGCACATCCTTTTGTCAATGTGAACCACTAGCCCAGATACGATACAGCCACTTCAGTAAGACAATTAAGTCTCATACCATAGAAGTGAACGAAGAAGCACCAAAGAAAGTTTGTGGGAAAATATTTACAAATATGACAACCCTGTCCTTCCCCCCACGGTAATCAATATCAATAATAAAAATAAATTTTAAAACTAATTTCAATTACTTGGATCGTGCTGTGATGGATGAATGGGGAATCCTGGCATCGGCCTTCGAGGAGGTGCAGCTGAAAAATTATCATTATTTTAGACAGGATTTATTAAATTTTGTAACCATCTAGAACACCAAATATATTCAATCTACGCTGTAAGCTAAACATGTAATGTTAAACAATCTACAAGGTTTTGACAAATAAATAAACTTTATTATAAATTGTAAAACAGCAAATAAAGAGTATTAGTATTATTACAACCAGCCACCAAATTGTTTGTCACGATTTTGTCTGTCAAACGTTAAGTTCTACGAATAATATTTATTTTAAAATTATCTTCAATGCATTTTCTATAAAAATAAATGTATTTATTCAACTTATATAAAATGTTAAACAAGTATAGCATATAGAAATAATAATTAATTTCCACAACCAAATATCCTAGCATTAGTTTTGAGAATTTTTTTTTCCACACCTATTAAATAAAATGTAAGCAATTTATTACTTTTAATGGTCATGATGAATTTTAAAAATTTAAATTTATATATTTATATACTACAAGAAATTGCAAAAAATTGGCAACAATGTAAAAAAAAATTTATTTTATTTTGAACTAAAAATTATAGTTTACGTATAAAGAACAAAAGGTTAGTTTGAGCTAAGAAGAATGCTTTTAGAAGTTATAGCAGTTTGTGAGGGTTATAAGATTAATTAATATAATTAATAAATTAATTATATTAGTATCACAAACCTTGTCCAGCGTTTGGTGGCTGGGAAGCTAGCACAATAACGTGTGTGTCTTTAGTATGTGAGTCAGTTCCTTCATGTTGTCTTATTTGATCTATAATGTCTTCAAGTCCTAGTGGAGGTGAATTGGGATTCTGGTAATGAACGGGCTCTTTTCTTGTATGGGATGTTGGGCTGTTAAAATAAGGATGTACGTTTTGTTTCTGTGGAAGTCTTTGTTGATTTTGTACTAAATATAATTCTTCGGGGGAAACGAATTGAGGCGGCTGCGGAAACCGTTGTGGTCCATTGGGTAATATGTGGTATAAGTGAGGTGGCCGTTGGAGTGGTACTTGATTTACGTGTTCGGGGAAGTGCGGATATGGTACATGTTGGTGGACACCTTTGGCGACCTCTTTTCCAGTCACTATTTGCTGATGTAAATAAGGATTAATCTGATTGGAATTATCGTGGGGATTTGGCCTGTCTTGTGGAATCTCGTATTGGGGATGGTTTGCGTTGTGATAGTTCCCTTGATTCTGTACCGGCTTTTCTTGGTAATGGTGGTATTCTAACAAGTGGTCCAATAAGTTTGGATTTACATTTGGAACATTTTCTGGTATATTTTGAGGCTTTTTCTCATTTTGATTATTCAATTTGTCAGGATTAATAATTCCTATTGGGATTTTATTCGGCACCTCATGACTCGGCCAAAGACCTGAAAGTGCACTATCGAAACTATTGGGCATGGAAGAGGAATATTCCGGGTTACCATGTGATGGTACTTTGTTCGCATTTTCATTCTGATTCTCACTACCAGCATGTAGTTCATGGCCTGGTTGTGTCTTATCGTACGGTAAAATATTTTGACTGTCAATTTTGACCTTATCAGTTCCTTGTTTGTCTGGATTCACAGGTCCATTAGGCAAACTTACTGCAACAGGAGGTAAAATGTTGTCACCTTTATTAATCATGATGGGTGGTCTACTTGAAAAATCATTGTTTGAAACTGACATACCATTTTGAGTGTCTAAGTTCGAATGTACTGCAGGACTAGTGTTGTCTGTGGGAACTTTTTCTATTGTTGTATTCGGGTTTAATACACCTAGAGAGATTTCAGTCTGTGAATTTATTTGTTCAGAGCCAGGAGATGCAGTATTAATCAGAACATTTGTTTCAAATTTTTCACTAATATTTTTGTGTTTTTGCTTCAATAATTCATGATCTGTGGCTGAATCATTTAACCTTTGCTCGTTGACATTAGTTTTTTGTGTTTCAGTCAATGGGGTTGGTTTTACTGTGCTTTTTACAGTGTGGTTAAATGTTGTATTGTCATGAAATATATATGGCCCCGGGAAATTGTGTTTTTCTTTAGATGTGTGTATATGTTTTTTTTCAGCCTTGCCTAGTATATCGGGACTGTATGGACCAAGGAATGGAACAGAGGAGCCATCATGGCTGAGAGATTGTTTCATTTTGGTCTCTTTTACTGAATTATTCGTCACATTAGGTCCAGTACCTAAAACGATACAATGTTTACAGAGATAAGCGTTAAAATTTTTTTCACTATAATGTAAAACATGGAATGTTAATCTGCATAATTATCGTTTCATTTTGAACATTATTGAATGAGTTTTTAGCATTAACATGTTAAGAATGACATGTTAACCTTCCAATTTTTTTAACAACATTTTTTTCAGAAATACATAAATCACTGAACTTTAAATTTTCAGTAGAAAAAATTTAGTCATCAATGGCACAAATGCTCAACATTTTTAACAATTTTAAATTGTACAAATCATCATTTTATCAAGAATTGATTTAAAAACACCATAATTATGCAGATTAACAAAGAAATTAGAACATGATACAAAAGAAAAAGCAATAAAATGATTTGTTAATAAAGATAATAGACATAGTCTCAACATAGTCACACATGCAAGAATACCAACTTCCGAATGATCATAGATTAAAAAAAAAAATGGCCCACCGTACCATATAATTCACTAATCCTACACATTTTTTCTTTTTTTAATCAACAGACTCCTGTCTTATCTATCAGAAATTGCAAAATTGACACTGTATTCAAGACAAATATAAAAAGACAACCAATTGAATAATTTAGTAGTATTTTAATTAAAAATGGTCTTTCTAAGCCATACACAGAATTTAAGTGTATGTAGCTAATTTAATACACTTAATGGTGTAAATTCAATTTAGTAATAGAACATTCTCTTTATGGTTTAAATCAGACCCTTCAGTCGTCTCACAGGGTGCCAGTCTTGTAGCTTGCTCGCTTTGATGTTTTGATATCCTCTGAGAAGAAATTTATGCTTTAGGGTACTCACTAAAGATGCAGTTTCCTCAGTATCAAAGGGAATCTACCATGTTCCTTCATACTTTATTTTGGAAGTTTTGTAATTCAGGTAGCAAAGTAGCAATTATATACCATAGGATCTGGCTATAAATGAAGATTTTTTTCTGGATCGACAATTGAGTTTCTTCCCAAAAGCCAATAGTTACAGAGTTGTCATCCGCAAATCGGTTGGGTTCGAACCTGGGACCTTTATTTTACAATGATGAGCATTGTCTCAAGTCTTATCTGTTGCGACCATTGACAATCGCTCCTTTTATATTAGTGTTAAATGGTCACTAGGATAAAGCAGGTCCTAGGACGCTTCCTTGGGAAACAACAGCCTTTATCTCTAAATGTTCTCTAGCTTTACTCGGAATAGTTTCTCTAAGAGGAGAACAGTACATATTGGATTGGAAGGAGTTTCAGAATTCTGTACTTCTGAACTGAGCACACACTTACAGACAGTGCTGCATCTTAAAGCAATAAATCTCTAAGTCTGAGCTGCAGTTTTCCCTCTAGATAATAAATTTTAAAAAATATTAAACACCAAAATGCCCCATTTTTCCGCCATTTTCAATTAAAAAACAACTTGTAAAACACAAAATCTGAAATGAAACTGGAGGATTAAAAAACTTAACTCTTTTCCAAGTGTATAATAATGAGGTTAAGAGTTAAGAAGGAACTGATTTAGGTTTACTGTAAACAAAGCGGTCCAAAAGAATGCAATATGATCTATGCATTTGGACATCCACATTCATCCAAATTTAAAAAAAAAATATCTATATTTACACAAAAAAAAGGTAGACGAATATTGCACATGCTCATTACAAAGTGCTTGTGAAGTGATACAATTGTGTTGTTCTCTTGTTTTAAAAATACAAAGAAAAGAAGGCAAAAATAATTACAATAGTACTTTCTCACATACAAATAATTGAATGGTGTAACAAATGCAAAGAAAATTGACTAGAAGAAATATAAAAGGCAACAAAAGGCAAGGTTTGCAAACAAAATAGTCATTCATTAACTAAGAGAAGCTTAAAATAGGCTACTTCATTCAATAATGTTTGTGCAAATATATTTATGAAATTACCCCACCCCAAATATATGCAATATTTTAAAATAACCTAATAATTAAAAGTTATTAGATAGTTGGATTTTACAAAACTTTACTTTTAATGATATACACTCAAAGTCATAAAAAACCTTTCACTCGTATTTTGTTGTTTATTTCAAACTGTATGTATTGTTGTCGTTATATATTATATATTAATTACAACATACTTATTTTAATGTGAACCAAATTAAACAGGATCAGAAATTCATGAGTTTTAATAAAAATTATTTATGATGATTTGAAAGAAAACTCACCAAAATACCGGAATATTGATAGATTAAAATTTAACTAACAATTTATTACCTGGTTTAGCTCTTAATAAAGCATATTACCTCCTCTGGCCTCACAGAGGGCCTTAAGACTCCTAGGCATCGAATAAATAAACAACCGGATTTCATCTCATGGAACAGACTCCCGTTCTTCAACAAGAGCAGTTTGAAATTGTTCAGCGCTTGTTGGAAGCGGCAAAATGATGTCTAACCTGTCTCTTTATTGTGTCCCATAAGTGTTCTATGGGATTCGTATCAGGAGCCGGCCAATTCATTGTAATAAGCCCTACATCCTCGAGTAATGGGTGACAACTCGAGATGCAGCTGAACATTATCATGCACTGACATAAATGGAGTGAATGGAACCGCAGCTTCCAGAAAACGTTATCAGTCTACTTTAGTATATCAAGTATAATAATCAGTTCGGTACAGCATGGTTGATTTTATTCCATTTGAAAAGGCTGACTCATTGGCACATAAAGTAAAGCGTTTTCTACCTCTTCTCCATATTTGGTCCCGGTCATCATCTGATTGCCAACCAAATTGGCACTCATCCAAGCTGATTTGCAAATGGTCGCCTTTCTACCCTGCCTATCCAGTAGTAGAGAACCTGATGTGGATTGTCTAGATATGGTGTTCTCACGAAGCCTTCTGATGACTGTTTAATAGCTCATTATGGACCGTTTGGAGTTGACTACCTACCAAGGAAAGCCATCAAATGAGTGTGGTAAGAGCAATAAAACTATTTTCTCCAGCTGTCATACATCGCGGTTGACTTTCTCTTTCATCGAGACTTCCGGTGGCCCTAAACCGCTGTAACCATCATAGATGGGAGAGCGTGACACACCCAGGACTTGGACGTTGTTATGGACCTAGGTCTTCTCAACTTAAAACTATGCTTTAGAAAAAATTAATAATTAATTTTTACTCAAATTTATAGTTTTATCGAAAAAAAATTTAACTCTCTCGGCAAATGGGCTCAGGAAAGGATGTAACTGGACAGATTTTCTTTATTTTTAATCTAATTTTAATAGGGTGTAAAAGGATTAGTAACACTATAAACGTAAATTAGTTATTAATGCTGTGTTTACGTTTTAAGTCAGCTATTAATCTTTATCACTTAGTAATTATAGAATATAAACAAATAAATACAAGTGTCCAGTTTTTTCTTTCTTTGAGTGTATATCATTAAAAGTTCATGATATATTGATTGATTTGCTTAATGCTATTTATATTTTAAACAATATTTTAAGTGTGGTGATTTCAGTGGTTTTACCATTCTGTTTAGCGCCGCATGTCCATTGCAGACAGCAGTTATCTTCTCCAGGTGTATGAGTTAAAATAGCATCATTCGGAGAGCATGGAAGATCGGACGGTGGCGAGTTCGGTACAGGTAAACACCTAGGCCTGCAATTAACTTTACCATTTTCACAATAGCATTTTTCCTCGCACCCTGTCAATTTGTCTGGAATGTCCGCCCAGTTGTCAAACCTGCAACCAATTCATCGTTATGAAATATTTATATGTTATTTTGTATAATTTACGCTTACAATTCGTCTTTGTAGGTGCAGGAACCGTTATTCGTACATATTACAGTTTCTGGACAACAGTGAGGAGGATTTGGTACAAAATCATGCGGCTTTGTTTCCCATGATAAGCACTGAGGATCTAAGACGTCTAGTCCAAAATCTGTCGGACATTCAATAGTTGCGCATTCAATCCCTGTTTTAAAGCAGGCACACAAAGCTGTACATCCATCATGGAACTCCTCACCTAACAAGGTTTAATCAATTACTGTTTAAAATATACAAATTAAAAATGAAAAGTTACCAATTTTATATGTGTTCCCTTTGTAAAGGCATTTTGAAGAGTCGGTGTTCATAGAAGGTGTTGTTGTCGAGACAACGTTAGACACTAAACCATTTATTATGACCCTAAAATAATAAGTTTTTCCTGGTGTCAGATCAACGACTTGGTGGCCGATCGTTTTGGCAGGTGTCCATGTTTTTTCATCTTCACTGACTTCAGCTTCAACATTATCAACATATGTCATTTTATCTAAATTTAATAAGACAGATGTAGCATTTGACGGTACTGCAGAGACAAGTTTAAAGTATTCTAGAATTTCGTCAACACCTGCAAGTTTTAAAAAAATCATTTTAATTACCCAAGTTTTTATTTTATTTTCTTAAACAAAAAAAAAATTAAATAAAAAATATAAAATTAAAAAAGCCTTACTCATATCATCTATATTAACATCGCAATAAAGAATTTTACAACATGGGTCTTTTGTGTCAGCAACTGATAAGCATCGATCAGATATCGCTGTTCGATTGTTAGAAGGGCATCTGGAAGAGAAAAAAATCCATTTTAGACTTATCAATTGTTATTTTGATAAACAACATTAAACTTCACCTTGGTTTGCAAGTTACTTCTCCATTTTCCATACAATTACAAGTACTACTGCATCCATCATGGAAAACGTCGCCATACTTGTACGTTTCATTTTTAAAAGTACATACTTTGGCAGTGGCAGTTGATGTGGCTTCTAGATAAAAAAGCAGATTGTTTGTTAATGCATGTTGTTGCATTGACACTTGTTAAAAACTAAAAAAAAAATGCTTATTGCAAAATAAATTTTATAATCCTGCTCTGTAACTACAAAATTTAAAAAAAATTTTATTCAATCAAAGACAATCCTGACACATTTTCATCTTATTACATTTTTCAATAACACACCAACTAAATACGGCCAAATTTGGAAACGGTGACTGACACACAAAACCATAATGCATTTTGTATTTGTCTTCTGTTATAACCCTGTACTTAAAACTTATTTCAACTCGAATGTGTCTTTAAGTCCATTGTGTTTAACCTAAGCTCTGAGTGGTGATGAACTTGTCATTTGGTCATTTGTGATCACTTTGGTCGGCCTATCCTCACTGTTTTTGGCCAGTCATTTTGCATTTTGTATTTGTCTTCTTTTTTATCCCTGTACTTGGAACCTATTTCCACTCGAATGCATTTTTAAGTCCCATTGTGCTTATTCTAAGCTCTGAGTGGTAATGAACCTGTCATTTGATTGTTTCTGATTATTTTGTTCAGCCTATCCTTCCTGTCTTTGGTCTGTCAGATGCATTTTGGCTTTTGTGCCATCTTCAGTGTGGAATAACATCATCTGTGACCCCCATTTTGACCAAAACTGCACTTAAATAATCTTCTTCAAGTTTAATAATTTTGATAAATAGTGGCAACTCTTGGCTGGTGTTGACTCGAAGTAAAATCCTCAGATTGAATCAATCTGTTTTTAAAATTTTAAAACAAAAAGATTTTTTGGATAGGGTTAATTAATTTCTATACAGAAGTGGTAAGATATTTTTCATCTGCCACAATAAATTAATTATACTTTAATTATTAAAGTATCAAGGGCAAGAGTAAGCACTAAGACTAAGCACTGCCTATTTTCCCAGAGGAAAACACAACAGTAGGGCCCGTTTGTAACAGGACATCAGTAAAAGGGAGCTCCTTCCAAGCACAAACTTCAATTAGTCAAATGTTTGGCAAGATGATCAAGAAATACCAAATTTGCACTGATTCAACGATTCTTAAAGACCGTTTATTTTATATTTGACATAAGTTGATGTTATATGATCGCACAGTTGCAAAAAAGTGATGTGTGGAGATTGGGTACAGAACAATAAAAATTAATGCCCACTGGGAACTCAATTATCCAATGTTGGTGACAAGTGTAGAAATGTGTTTGCCAGTTTTGGTGAAGGTTCATGAGAAACTCATGAATCATGAGCTATGTCTATTTTGAATTTCGTCCACTTCTCTTTTTTTCTTTCTTGTGTTTCTCTTTTCATCAAAAGTATTGATTCTTTATATGGTCTCCGATCCTCTGACCAGTTTGTCTTCTTGTTCATTACCCAGAATTCCTTAGAATTCCTTTGTGCCCTGACAGCCAAGATAATGGTTGTCTGTTTGTGGCTATTTTGTATGTGTCCTTTTTACTAGGTAATTAGGGCTGCTTGGATCTCTGATCTTATGAGGTTGTTTCTGTTCCATTATTTTGTCTGAATTTCTTTTGTCATAATACAAAACTATATTCATTGCTCAGTACTTTTTCACTTTCATACCATAACTAAAACGAATAATTGGGGTTTTATGGAAAGTGAAAATCTAAGAGATCAAAGTCAAACCATTCAATGAAACTTTGGTTTATCATACTTGCCGAGTTTGCATCCTCATTTTGCAAGTGTTAGAATTTATTCGGACCTCATTTTTATCTGTGATATGCTTTCAAAGCGGCAGGAAAACAAATGGAACAGTTGGGCAGTAATCAACGCGAGATCCCAAGTAGACCGCCTAATGGAATACCATGCTGTTTTTTTGTTTTGTTTTTCCACAAAGACAATGCAAGAACCGTCGGTATGTGTATTATGGGCAAATATTTTTTTGTGTAAAAATGTTTTCAAAAGTTTAGGAAAAAACAATATGACCTGATTCCTACATTTACTAGAAATATGATTACAGCTTTTTTTTCTATCAAATGATTGATATTGTTACAGACATATTGTACTTCTTTTGTTCTGTTACCATTATCACTGTTTGAACAGACTAGGGAAGAACAGCATTTGTCCGAGGTTGGTTTGAGTACACACTTTGGGTCCGTCGTGCCCAGTATAGAGCGCACTAATGGCGGGGCACAGCGTTGCGTGCAGTTTAGCTTTCCTTCCACGCACACACATTTCTGAAACAAAACAAAAAGTTAGCATTAATAATGCACTTCATGCGCAAATGAGAGGATTTCATTGTTTATCATGACTGTTCTTGCAATCCCATATTTCCTATTCTGTTCAAGTACCACGAGTTTAAATATTTTAAGTTTTGCCGAATGAACCATGAATCCTTTAAAATTAGGATCCTGTTTATTTTTTGTTTTAATAACAGCATGTTGTTGTAAGCATGTAAAAGATCAATGGTACTATACTAGCCTTATCTGCTTCTGTCGCCTGGCTGGGTTGTAGGGCTGGGATAAGTTGGACGGCTAATGGGTTGGTAGGTGAGGATAGTATTTTGTGAAATGGAGAAAAATTTGTTGGGTTTTTTTTAACAAATTTGGAGGTCATTCTGAAGGGTGATGTTGGAGTCATAGTAGGGATTGACTAGTTCTGAATACTAAATAATGGAAAGTTTAGCAGTGCTCCATAGTTCATATGCTTGAAGTTAGAGATGTCTGGTTATCTGATTGTATTGTTGCACCTCCGAGTGTTTGTTATTTATTTGAAGTGTACATTTATCTATGGAAAGCAATTTGGTTTGAAAGATGGTTGTGGTGGGGACAAGGGTGGTGCTAGTTGAAATAGAACCCAATGTGTGCAAAGACAGTTTTAAGGATTATGGCTGCATTTGCTATCAATACATCAGAGTTTACTCCATCTGGATAATCGCAAAATTTGTGACTCCTCCAAAGCAGCTGTGAAGGTCAGAATCAAAGTAGAGTACAACTGTGTCACACAAAGGACTGGTGTCACTAATGGTGGTAATTACAAAGGTGTTCGAAAAGTAGTAGTTAGTTGACGTTGACAATGGTCCTGTGGACTTTGGATCAGTACGACTGTATTCTTTGAATCCTGGAACGTTTAACTAGCAGTGCCCCATAGTTCGCAGGCTTCGAGAACCGTTACAGTTGTCTGGCTATCTATTGTTTTAAATGCACACGTTTCTATGGAAAGCCATTCAATTTGAAAGATGGTTCTGGTAGGGATGAGGGCTGTGTCACACAAAGGGTATTTAGAGGTTATTATGAAGATGTTCAAAACATAATAGGCATCTTGACAATCTTTTTGAGAACTTAGAATGGGAAGGACTGTATTGTTGCATCTTCGAAGGTTTAGCAGTGCTTCATATGAGAGTGTAGTCGGGTATCTGAAATATAGATGGAAACAGGATTTTTATTTTAGGTTTGGGGGTTGAATAATGATTTTTAAAATCCTGTCCTCCACTGTGACCTATACAGTTCTACTGTGGAACCCTTATAAATGATAACATACTTTGGAAAGTACACTCTTTCAAATATGGCTAAGCACTTTCCTCGGTGCCTCTTCACACACCTCTTTTGGTGTGAGAATTGCCTCTCCAAAGTGACTGTACTGTAACCAAGCTAATGCTTCATGTTCTCAAAGGATATGTGCTGATTTCTCTGGTTCCACCTGACAGAGTCAGCATGTTCTCTTTCTGCTTTGTGCATTTTCTCTCCTCTTCCTTATGTGGTAGTTAAGAGGGCAGTGGTCAGTATAGATAGAGCCTTACAATCTTCCACAAATCCTGCCTGCTGAGAGTGGGAGTTCCTTCGCCTTCCTTTTTTTAAAGATTTATAAATCTCTTAGTTTGCCTTTTACCTGGTGCTTTTGTCCAGTGCTTGACTTTTTCTTTCTCAAGCCATTTTCCCAGTTCCAATTTAAGCACACACTCCAGTGCACTTAGTTGTAGTTCTGGTCCTACAGATGAGAGGATTGTCCCTTTTTTTTTGCCAGTTGGCCACCTGTTCATTTCCTTCTATACGTCATGCTTGGAACCTACTTTATGGTAATCTTGTTGTGTTTTCCTATAGCCAATAGGTAGTTTAGGCATTTCCAGACAAGCTTGGATCTGAAAGCATACGCATTAAGTGCCTTTATAATTGATACTATGTAAATGTGTGCACTTTTCATATTTTTCTTTATTAACTCCAGTGCACAGAGTTACATTGCATGGACTTCAGCTTGGAAAATTGTTGGGGTTAGTCCCAAGGTGGTCAGCGAGGGTACAGTTCAGGCTGTGTACCATATTAGGGCCCTTTTCTGAAACTTGGGGCTACCTTTCTTCTAAAGCTCTCTATTATCTGTGACCACTTGGAAGGGTCTGTCAAAGTTGAATTTTTCTCTCATTTTGTCAAGTTCTGTTATAGCCATCTTATTTATTTTAATTCTCTCCAGACTTTAGTAGTGGCTCCTCTTTATTTCCTTCTATCTCAGGAGTCTGTTGGTATTTTATTAACCTTTTGTACATAAAAATTTAAGGAAGGTCGAATGGTCGAGTACGGTTTTTATTGTTATACTAAGACCCGCTAGTCTTTGTAGATTTTGTGTTTTCTCCATTGGAGTGTTTAGCCAAGGGTTATACCTAGGTATTTTGTTTCTTTTGAGAATGTTAAAGTTTCACCAGTTATAGTGGGTGTTTTTAGATTTACCTTCCTTCTTCCAGTAAAATATGTTATGATATGTTTTCTTATGGTTTATGTTTAAGCCATTTTCTCACATCTTCCTACAATATTAAGGCGTTTTGCATCTAATTTGACAGTGTCATCCAATTTCCCTTTTATGATTGTTACCAGGTCATATGCGTATCCTATGCATGGTATCGTATGGAAACAGTATTGGTTCAAGCAAACGGCCCTGAGGCACTCCCGCTCCCACAGGGCAATATTCTGGGTAGTTTGATCAAAGTCGAACTCGGAAGAATCGTTCCTTTAGGTTGGAGGGAAGGATTAACTTGCAATGTATTTTGTAAGAGCACGTTTTAGTTAGTATTTTGTAAGGCTAGTAATTTTTCTTGTAACAATTATTTCTCGGAAGAGAGAGAGGATAATGTAGAATAAAACAGTTGGTGGCAGTAAAGTAGTTTCTGTTATACAGAAGGGCTTAACATCCATCCGTTGGACCCGAACAAGGGGTCAAACCACTTTACAATATATTTTTTATACTATGATAAATTAAAAAGCCATGGGATATGCCGGGATTCGAACCAGAACCGCTAGCAAGTACGAGTCGGACAACATAACTACTCGGCCACAGCGGTCCGCAAAACAATAAAACTTGCCTAGATTTTATGGCATTAGATTATCTTCTACGGGCTATTTTGGGATCAGCAACTTTACCTTGTGCCACGATCATCGTCACTGCAAACCAGTCACACAAAATAAAGAATTAGCTTGAGACGTATTGTTTGCTCAAAACCAAGCTAGAAAGGTCGAAACGTTATATGAAGCTATGCTTGGTTAAGGGTGTAATTCAATAAATATTCATTATCACGACTGATATTTCTTTTTTAATTTTTTTCTTTCTCGGAGTTTGATGCCAGTGGTAGTTGAGGACGATACACGACTTTGATGCACGCGTCTTAACTAGGAAGGAAAACGGCCAACCTTCGCCTGCCGATTGCTCACCAACGGTTAATTGCAAATATGTATTTTGATTGCTTGTTTTATTTTCTAAAGATAGCCGGTCACGATGGTACGTTTAATCAGAAGTATTCGTGAGACGCCGTGCAACGGAATTATTGCGCTGAATTATTGTCTACAGGCTTATCTGTTCATATTACAAGCATATGTGCAAGTAGTATAAGTAAAGAAGCTTCTGTGGAATAAAAACCAAAAGACAAAACCGGTAGTCTGAAATTTTGTCTAATAAGAAATCGAAAACAAAGAGTCATTTTTCCCTTTTTTCCCAAAGAACAATCCTCCTCTAATTGAACTCATTACCAAAACTCAACTCAATTAACTACATTTTTCTCTCATTTCTCCAGACAAAAGAAAAGAAAGCGAGTTCCATTCATGGCAATGAATGAATAATAGCCATATCCCCCAAATCTGGGACCTGCAAAAATTTAAAGCCTCTGATCATCCTCAAAATTTAGGCTTTGGAACAAAACTTTCAACAAGATCAAGTTCACAGAATTACTGATATAATACACGAGCTTTGGACGAGACATAACTATGATTATCACCAACAAGTCCCCCTGTCAAATTATAACGGAAAAACAGCAAGACTAGTAGATAGGAGGAGTTGTTTCAAAATTATTAAAATTTTTGTAATTTTTGAAACTAAATCAGACGCATTGTGAAAACGAAAATTTTGCTCATCCCGGTCACCACAATGGTCAACACGTCCCAACGACAGGTTTTTAACTTATATGTCCAAGACCTGCGATAAAATTTTTGGGTGATGTTGTTAATACATTTTACACCTTTTATTCAATGTTGTTCTTTGATCTGACCCGCAAATCGCTCATAAAACAATCCCAATAGGTTTTTCGTAATTTGCAGTCCTCATGGGCATATCGCACGCCCTCAAGATAAGTGACACAAGTCAAAAAACTATAAAAACCCGGATTATTTAGTTTTTTTAAGTATTCGGGTGTGTGATGTTACAGAAAAAATGACACAACTGTAGGTGGTCTCTTAGCTGCTAGGCAGCATTTGGGTTACTTTTGAATTGGCGGGGACGTACCATTCACGAAAAGGAGCATATTTTAGTTCTGTATCCAGCTTTAAAGCATCGGTGTGACCATTTATCAGGAAAAGTTGCATATTTCAAGTTAAGACAGTTTTTTCTTGTTTAGTGAAGGATTTTATGCAGCACCGGAGTCACATTTTCACATTATGAAAATCAATTGTACTAATATGTATTTCGTAATGTGAAATTAATATAGGCCCTGATGATGACCTTAAAATAGGTCGAAAGCTTGACAGTAACAACTGAATTTCCTTTTTTCTTCAAGACCATGCCTTGATCTATAGTGAATTATTTTAGGTTCATTTCTTTTATTTTAATAACATTCTTAATTATAATATTGTTTTTCCATAAATTTTTAATCATGTTGCCTTTTAACCTTTACACTATTTTATAGTTTCAACGGTTTTTCTAATGTTTTAATTTCAATATTTTAATAGGCAATAAAAACTTTATTTCAATAATTATTTCTGTATTT